TGGCAGCTCAGACATGAACGGGAACAGCTCAAGGTTTGCTCACAGGCCTCCAGCTCTGGGGAGCAGGACTTTAGTCCCCATCTGCTGACGTCTTATGGCGCTTTTAGGTTTTGCCGGTCTCGCTGGAGCAGGGCTCCCCGCTGCCCTCGTTCCTGGGACGGGTTGCAGTGCAGAGGGGACAGGAGGCTTTGCCAGTATTTCCTGGCCAAAGTCTGTCTTCACATCAAGCTTTTAATTTGTTTTATAAATTGCCAAATCCAGCAGGCTAAGCTGCAGGCCCCCTTCTGTGCTAAAAATAAAATAACAGCTTGAACTCGTGGAGGGGCGAGCGGCGGGGCTGGCAGGAAGTGGCTGATGAAAGGGCAGGTGGAAATGATGAGGCTCCGAAACCGGAGGCTTCATCTTCCGCTCTCGAGCGAAAACACAGATTTGCTGTATTTTGCTAATTTGAGTTTCACTCATGTGCTGCGGACCCTCCTCCTCCATCCACTCCCCAGGCTGGTGCTTGGACGCTGCCGTGAGCTCGCCGTTGCCGAGTGCGGGCAGGACCAGCCGGCACCAGCGCACTTGGGATGCTGCTGAGCTTTCCTCCTCCTTGCACGGTGTGGAGCGAGTTTGGCCAGTAATTGCTCTGGAACAGCCCATTTGGGCCAAACCCAGAGATGACGCACGAGGCGGTGGCAGGTTTGGCCTCGCCCCGTATCGCTTCCATCTTCCCTGAGCCCTGGCAGGTAAACCCTGATTTATGACTTACCTAAACTGATAGCTAATATGCCATGAAATTGCTGCAGAACAAGGTGGGGGCACATTATTCTGGCAGAAATCTGACTATTTGCTCTGCTTTGAAGGCAAGATATTTGCTCCGGAGCAATGATTTTTTTATTTCCTAGCATGCAAACCTGTAGCTTGCTTGCGTTTGGGCTGGAAGATCACTGTGAAATTGAAGCAGGAAGGTTTCAGTCCCCTGAATATCCGCTGCCTCCTGGGCTGCCTTGCTGCAGAGGCTGTTGATGCTGGGCAAAAAAGCACCTTATTTCATGCCATGAAGTTTGTCTAACTTACCTCCCAGGCAGCAAACCCTGCTCTGATATTAAGCAAAATTGTTCTGGTTTTTATTTTGGATATTTTATTTTTTTCCCCCGTTCTGAACCTGTGTGTATGGAAGGAAGGTGTGGTTACTGTGGAAACAGCGGTGGGATGCTGTGTGGTGGCAAGGCAGTACTCGGGGCAGACCCCTTTTGGGGAGGTGGGCATGGAAAAGTGTACGTGGCCAGGTCCAGAGCTGCCCTGGAAGTTCAAGGCTGGTGGCAGGTGAAGGTGTGGCAGGAGAGATGCTGCTCCCTGTCTGATCTTTGGTGCGCAAATCGGGTCTGGGAGCTTTAGAGATGGTTAAATCATGGTTTTTTGGAGAGTGTGTATTTGTAAGGCTTTTCCTCTGCTTTGGATAAGCACGGCTTGCTCAGATCATCCAGAGGGAAAGAATTTCTGAAATCAAATGTACTTTTGCTGCTGAGGCTCTTCTCATTT